AGGCACTGGCCAGCTAGCTGCGGGACCAGGCAAGCAGGCAACGTCGAGAGGAGCGAGTTCCACAGAGAACATCTACGTTTTCTACTGGTTTGCTCTGCATTGGCTAGGTACCACACGTCCATCCCCAGTTCTGTAATCCAAATGCCTGGGGAAAATGAAGGGTTGATGGTCTAGGAAAAGCTCTCTCACTAGAAGACTTGCAGGCAACCTTGCTTACATTTCTAGAAGTTTACTTAAAATAATCAGTATTTTGCAGTCAAAGACTTAAGTCTCTGAAAGTTCAGGTTATCTGTCACAGACAACTGTGGCAAATAAGCCATTTGTCAGAAAGTGGCACTTGGATGCCTTGGGATTCTTGGAGTGTAATCACTGCACTTCCTTCAGTTGGGTGCTATGGATAGAGAAATTTGGAGGACAGTTGAGAAATGCAAGTTGTGCCATAGAAATTTCATTTCCTTCTGATGACTCTTAGCCTGCAACAGGAATATCTGTCCTTTAAAATTTAACAAACGGTGTCTCTTCTAGTGCCACAAGCCTTTCTGTCTCAGGTTTTCCAGGCTTACCTGCAACCCTAACAAACCGTGTTTGCCAGGAGCACTATGCCATGTCTGCTATTCCTCAACCTCAGCTTCTCAGCCCCGAGACTGATTATTTGCATGTTTCTGTTTATCAACCACCTCATGGTCTGAAGTTTGCCGCAGTTATACTTTTATTAGGACTATGACAGAACATTGGTGAAAAAAACCAACAAAAAAAAAAACCCCAACCCCTCCCCCAAAACCACCATCACCAAAAAAAAAACCCAAAGCAAAAAGTAGCTTAGTTCACTTGTTAAGTGTTTTGCAATACTGTCCAAGAAGAGAGAATCCCAGAAGGGATGAGGTTGGAAGGCACCTCCAGAGGGCACCTGGTCCAACCCCCCTGCTCAGGCAGGGCCACCCAGAGCCAGCTGCCCAGCCCTGTGCCCAGACGGCTTCTGAGCACCTCCACGGATGGAGACTGCACAACCTCCCTGGGCAACCTGTGCTGGGGTTCGGTTGCCCTCGCAGGGAAAAAGTGTTTCCTGATGTTCAGAGGAAACTCCTGTGTTTCACCTTGTGCCCGAGGCCTCTGGGCCTGTCGCAGAGAAGTGCCTGGCTCCCTCCTCTTTGCACCCTCCCTTCAGGTATTTACATACACTGGTGAGATGCCCTGAGCCTTCCCTTCTCCAGGCTCAATGGTCCCAGCTCTCCCAGCCTTCCCTCATAGGAGAGATGCTCCTGTCCCTTCACCATCTTCGTGGCCCTTTGCTGGGCTCTCTCCAGTGTCTCCATGTCTCCCTCATACTGGGGAGCCCAGAACAGGATCCAGGACTCCAGCTGTGGCGTCACCAGCCCTGAATCAAGGTAGATCATTAAAGCCATCAATCCCTAAGGAATGCATACACTCCCCAAGACTCACCTACACTGCTTCATTTGCATCCAACGCTCCGTTACCAGGTACTACCGTACCTATGAATTTCATCTGAACTGCAAGTTGTCGCTGACAGGCGTTCGAAACAATGACTTGTGCTGATAGGAAGAGCAGAACATAACCACTGACCACAGTTCCTCCTCTGCGGATCTCCTCTGCTTCGTCCTGCCCAAAAGACACCAAATTCCTAGTGAAGTGAGAAATAACCCTCCCATCAGGCATCTTCAGGTTTTCTCTTCTTTGAAATAAAGTCCCCAAGTCAGAGGGCAGCACGTGACGCCAAACACCTCCGCACACAGCACAGTCAACTGCTAATGGCATTGCCCCAGCGTCAGTCAGTGAAGCATCCCTACAAAAGTGATCTGACATCCCTTAAAGATTTACTACCAAAGGTGTACCGACTGCCTTGTTAGCTGTACATTCTTCCCCAGGTTTCAACATCCAGCATATGATTCCGAAGTTATACGTACTACAACAATCCTAACAACAAAATCAGTAGAAAGCAGAAGTCACGGGAAAGTCACAGCCTGTGTGAGCCAGTATGGAAAATCATTACCAAAGGCTGGTTTCCTTTCAGCTAACAGACATGTGACAGGAAACTTCTGCTTCATCGCTCTGCCTCACCCAGTCTTAGAGCTGATTACATTACACAGGTCCCACAGTACCAACACTCATTAAGCGCTTTTGGTTTCAAAAACATTAGGTTTGATTAACTTGCTTGTGATTTTTTACCATCAATAGTGACAAATCCAGGTCCATACTGTCCACTCAAAACTGTCCTGTTAAGAGGGCTGTACCTCATCCCACTGAACGATTCTACTGACGAGAGTCAAACAATATAGTTCCTCCTCAGACGACTTCGACACCACATAACAAAGATTAGCTTTCAGTTGCTAGAAATACTGTGAACAAGGAAAAAGAACAACACTTCAAGGGTCTCACTCTTTAGACAGACTTAGGAAATTGGAAAAAATCCACATTTAAACAAAGTTCCTGCTCTTAGAAGGTGAACTGTAAAAGTAACATCAAATTATTTTTCTAGTAATTCTGGATACATCTGGAATGTGTCAGAATGAGATTGCCTCAGGTATGTGGGAACTTAATCTTCCAGTTTAAGTATCAGATATTGTCCAAGCAGAAGGAGGATTTCCATCTTACAGTTCTGGTTCAGCTTCCTCTGGCAACACTGAAAAAGTACTGATCCAAGACTTTCTGTAACCCTCCTTCTAGCCAAATTTCAAGCACGGATATATATTCCGTGATTATCACACCTTCGGAATGAGCATGAGGGCTCATTTCCTTCTACACACTGAAGGGAAACATGGACTGGATGCAAATGACAACTTCTGTCTTTTTCAGAAACATTCACAATAGGCTTTTTTGCCATCATTTGAAACCTGACAGTGAAATCCTTCCCATTAAATAGCTTTCTTGCAGAGTGCTGAAACTCCAGGAGGCAAAACAAAAATCATCTTGTGTCACAGGAAACAGCTATCAAAATAATCGGCCACAGTTAGCTGCTGAAATATCAGAGGAAACATTTTCCCTAGATGAACAGGGAAAACGACACTGAAACCCACCACATTGTAGTTCAGTAAACATGCTTAGAATAGCTTCACGTTTGAAAATGCCTAAAATGAAAATATTCCTCAAATCTTACTGTGGAAGCAGGTCACGAGCAAGAAAAATAGACTGAAACTGAAGTTGTTCGGGAAAGGAAAAAAACCATCCAAGGAGGCCAGCTACAGCATAAATCACTAAGAGGAAGAGTTGCACAAACAATCTGCATCCCCACAGCAAACTTCGGTTGTACTGAAGAGACCACACAAATACAGACAACTCCATGCCCTCTTTCC